GTCGGACAGGGAAAGATATGACAAAATAATAATTTATAAATTATCAAGGGCTCATGAGGGAGGGGGGAGCAGGGAGGGAGGGGAAAAATGAGGAGCTGATGCCGGGAGGCTTAGGTGGAGAGCAAATGTTTTGAGAATGATGAGGGCAATGAATGTACAAATGTGCTTTACACAATTGATTTGTGTATGGATTGTGATAAGAGTTTTGATTAAATGATTTAAAAAAAACCACTATGAAATAGCTGTAAGAACTCCCAATAAAATGATTGGAAAAAAGAGATAAATAACACATGAGTACATTACTCTTTACAATAATGTATTATTAAATGTTTAAAACTTTGCTGATCTAATAAAAATGTCATCTTGGGAAAAAACAAAAGACAAGGAAGTGACTTTGAAGACGGTGGTGCTCCTAACTCAAGCCTCGCTGTTTCCCATCGCCTCACATGCATGTGAAAGTGGACGGTGAAGCGGAGGCCCGAGGAGTCGACGCATTTGTACTGTGGTGCTGGCAAAGAGCACTGAAAGCACCACGACTGCTCCAAGGTGTACGGAACTCTTGGAAGAAGTGTGGCAGTGTGCTCTCTCGGGCCAAGGATGGTGAGACGACAAGCTTTGGACATGTCAGGAGCGACGGTCCCTGGAGAAGAACATCAGGCTGGGTAGAGGGGCGGTGAAAGAGGAAGGCCCTGGACGAGATGGGCTGACACAGTGGCTGTCACAATGGGCTCCAGCACAGAAACGGTCATGAGGGTGGCGTAGGACTGGGGAGGGTTGCATTCTGTTGAGCAGTCAAGGTGGGTTAGGACAATAGCATCAACCTTTAAGAGAGACTTTGAGGAACTGGGACGTGTTCAGAGAATGCGCTCAGAGTGAGCAAAGGGCACGATGCCACCTTTCTGAGCAGTGGCTGAAAGAAATGAAGCTGTTCAGTTGGCAAAAGGGAGGCTCGGGAGCCCCTGAAGCCACAGTCATTGCCAGTGGCTTCTGAGTGAGGGGACCACAGATCCTCAACGGAGCTGAAGGCAGAATTCCGGCTGAGGGAAAATGTCCGGCCAGGCTAAGGTCAAGCCATGTGACAACCTGAATCTGCCTACATGAGCAAATGGGGGCTTGGTACCAGCATCAAGGACACCACAGAAGGAATTTCCAACCACGTACCTGCTGCTGGCCGGCCATCACCTTCTTCCCCATGCCTTCCACCTTTGGGGAGTCCTGCTGTCCTGAGGTCCCCCCTTTATTGCTGCTACTCATCAACAACTTCTTGAGCTCCATATTTTCCTCCCTGGGTTGGGAAAGAGACACGCAAGTCACAGTGTGGGTGCTGGGCTGAGGGAGCTGCAGGCCCCGAGACTCACGAGGCTGACCACCGAGAGTCCCTCGGGATTCAGGAAAATCCTGAAACCGGTCTCAAGCAGAACTGAAAACGACCTGCTGCCTGGGCTGCCTGACTGGCCATCTGTGGGACTCCCCGGAGGTCTGAGCCGAAACAGTTGGGTCTCCCCAGCTATAGGGTATCCGTATACATGAGATCCTTCTTAGCCAGAACTTATCACATGGGTTCATGTGTCTGTGGTATTAATTTCTGGTTACTGCCCATTTGTTGCAAGTAATGGATTTTCTATCTCGTGACAGCTGCCTTTGCAGTAATTTTACATAAGAGCATACATCAAATGAAAGTAATCAGAAGACAATAAGGACATAATGCAAGAGGTGCTGTGGATTTGGGGCTGACTGAAATACCATTTCTTCAGGTTCTGTTTTCCAGTGGGTTTCCCCTTTAGAACAGAAAACAAGGAGTAAGCAGGCTGTCCTCAAGCCACACTGTGGGGACTTCGTTTCCTGTCTCGCAATCCCTGGGTCCTTCCTCCAGCCTGGGCTTTTGGATCCATAGGCTGACTCCTTACAGCTATAAAACACCCAACGACCTTGATCATCCAGAAACAAATAAGCACATGTGGGTTCAAAGGGGCACAAGGACTCAAGTCACCCACTTCTGTGGCCACACTTAAGACTGTTTTATTCCTTCCTTTCCGGCAGATCCCAGCCAACAAGTTGAGACAACAACCCTGGGGTGGCCAGTCCTGGCTTTAGCTCAGGCATCTGCTGGCTGCACCCACGTCGAGCGAGTACCATGGAGTGAGTACCGACAGAAGATCCACCCACAGAGTCTTCCCCGCCCACAGGGAGGGAGCAGGGCCCTCCAGTGAAAGCCAGGCTCTCATTGAGAGCAGTCCCTGTTTCTCTCTGGGCCTCATCTCCTTGCTGCACAATGAGTAGCTTGGTCAACAGGGCCTCTAAGGGTTGCTCCTGCTCTGACAGCCAAGCCCGGCATTTCTCAAAGTGTGGCCCAGGTCTTTGGTGAAAGGCAGATTCCTTGGTCTCACTCAGACCTGCTGAATCAGAACCTTGACAGCAGAGGAAGAGCAGGTAAGGAAACTTCTAGTGCCCCATCCTCCAAGTTTCTGATGCGATAGAGCGCCACATGCTTTAAGCCAGATGAGGGAGACAGAGCAGAGACTGTGACCAGCAGGGGGCAGCAGAGACCTACGCCGTCCAACTCCCTGCCAGCAAACCCAAGCCAACTCACAGCTACCCTCTGGGACAGGTTTGACCTGGCCCTGTGGGTTTCTGAAACCCTAACTCTTTATGGGAGTGGATAGCCCTGTCTTTCTCCTGCAGGATGGCTGGTGGCTTTAGAACTGCTGACCTTCAGGCTCACAGCCCACTGCTTACCCACGACACCACCAGTGCTCCTCCAACAGCCACTGAGCTGGCTACTAATCGGCCGAGGGAGCAAGTTCTGAGGATGGAGTGCACTTTGTACAGACTTTCTTCAGAAGCTCTCAAGACACCTTACAGACATGCTTCAAGGCATTCAAGGGCCAGTTGATTCTGTCCCATCTACAGCGAGGAAACACGGAGACCCCAGGAGCCAGGGCCCTGGCACAAGCCTCAGAGCTCTCGGCTCTCCTGTGGGCTTCTGAGCCCAGAACTGCGCTGTGCACACCACCAGCCCTCCTGAACCTGGGTTTACCGAAGCCTCTCGGCAGCCTGATCCCTTTGTTCCAGGCCCTTGTCCAGCTTGGCCTTCAGGACCTCATTCTCCTTCCGAAGCTGCTCACACAGGGTCTGCAGGACAGAAGGGCAGAAGGGGACAAGGGTAAGCACAGAGGTACATCCCAAGGCAGTAGAACCTGGAGGGCAGAGGAGGGGCTGGTGCAACCCCACGTCCCAAATCTGATCCCCTTCACCTGACCCTCCCCTGATGCCCCCCATTGGGAGGGCCAGAAGCCAAGCTAATTAGCCTAACCATCCAGGCTCCTCCTGGCAGACTATCCTGAGGAAGCCCAACCAAGAAGCTGCCACGGGCCCTCTGGTTCTCCACACCAGAGCACACCATCCTGCCCAGAATGCTCTTCCCTCCCCAGCCAGCGCCTACAATTCCAGCTCCTGACCAAGTCTTCCTGAACTCCCACACCTCTGTCATGTCCCTTCTCACTCACCATGCCCTCCCTATTCTTACCCTTCTTGGCCCTTGTGACAATTGGAGTGACAGAGCTGCATGGTTCTCTTCATGCCTGATCCCGATCGCCTCACCTCTCTCTCTGTAAGCTGCCTCCCCTATCCGCCCCCTCACATACACACTCACTGGGGATCCCCAGTCTTTAAAGGCACAGGAGCCAGCCCAGCATCAGCACTGGACTTTGTTGAAGGGGCGCTTGACGGGAAGGATGATGAGTAAGTGAATGGACAAATGAACAAGTGAGGCCCACACGGTGAGGCAGCTTGTGGAGTGGAGGCTTCCAGGGTGACATGGCAGCCCCTCTACTACACAGCGGGGGCCACTGTTCCTTCACTGCCCTTGTGCAGGATGGCTGAGGGGGTCAAGAGGATGGTGAGGGTACTACCTGAGCACTTCTTCGGTTAGAAGTGCTGGAGGGAGTGTGACGGGCACCAAGGACGGCCAGACTGGCTGCCGCCCAGAGGAGCAGGAAAGTGCCCCTGAGTGACGTAATGGATGGTATCACTACTGAGTCATTCCGTCTTGCAGCAACGCTCACCGAGCACCTGAGCAGGTGCCAGGGACCTGGCCAGGTGCTTTCCCAGACACTGTCTCGCTGGAGCCTCACAAGGCCCTCAGAGCTAAGTCATTGGATCTTTAGGTTCAAGGGAGGGAATCTGAAGCAGTGTGTGTGTGTGTGTGTGTGGTGTTACGCGGGTGTTAAGAATCCAAACTGGGCAGGAACTTCGCCTGGCAGACCTTTCACGGCAGTCTCTTCCCTGCAGTGTAAGTGGAGGTAGGGTGGTCCTCACTAAACACTCCCTCTGCTCCTGGCCATTCCCCAGGTTACTTGTACCTAGAAGTGATCACGACTAGTTCTGGCCAAGGAAATATAAGCCTAAGCGATGAGTGTGATGGACGGGTGTCTTGTGACAAGGAGTCCTGGGGTCGTGCACATGGTTATGTCCCAACTACGAACAAACCGGGCAGTTTGAGCCCATGCAGAAGCACCTCAGAAGAGAGCTTGTTGACCTGCTCCCCCAGACCAGACCAGAACAAAACCAAACTAAACCCAACCCGCCTCCACCAAGCTGCCTGACTGACGCACAGCATTTCCAAGGCTGTCAATGTCTACAGGACCTGACAGCGTCATCTGTCTTCTGTGGAGGGGCTGGTAGGTTTGAACCACGGACCCTGAAGCCCAATGCTTAGCCCAGGAGGGTTTCCAATGCTGCCATCTAGATAGAAGCAGACTGCGGGGCCTTTCTCCCATGGAGGCTGCCCTCTTGGCTACCACTTAGCCACGTATCACCAGGGCTCCTTCTGAAAGGTCGCAGCCCTGACCTACGGGCCGCAGGGCTACTCTGAGACACATGGTCACCAGGAGTTGAAATCGGCTTGATGGCAACTGTTCCGTGGGTGCGTTGAACGCACGGTTCCCTTTTTCCCTGCTGCAGCTAACGTAGACACCCCGTAGTCCACAGAGCACTAAACAGGTGCCTCTGTCAGCTGAGGCCCTACAGGACGGTGGGGCAGAAGCATACCCCTACCAACACAGAACAGGAGGTAACGCTTTCGTTCTGCCCATGGAGAGATTTTTGCTGCGGGTTTCCTAGCCCTCCCTGACTAATGCAGGACAGCCTGGGCAGGCTGAGTGGAGGAGACAGCCTTGAACAGGATGGAGGCTGGACATGAGGGGCCCAAGGCTGAGAGCTGCACTAGCATGAGGCACCGCTGTTGTTGGGCCCCTCCAGTCACACAGAGGACCCTGCACCATACCTGCCCTCGTTAAGTGTGTGTTGACCGAACCAAGAAAAAATTCCATGAACGCAATGAGGAGGCGCAGGATTGCTCTACCTCCGCCCACAGGCTGGGGAATTACCAGGATGCCACGGCCTGGGTGGGGCCTTCCAGGGGACAGAGTGTCCTGTTCATGGTCACTAAGGAAAGGCCACGCTGAGGCCTCACCTTCTGTCCTGCACTGCAGTCTGTTTTCTTGAAGACTCTAGCTAAATGCTCTGGGCACAAGATGGTCAACGGAGAGAAGTTGTCAAAGGTCTCCAAGTTCAACAATACCTCCATCAGAGGAGCCGATAATGGACCTGTGAGTCCATGTGTTCGCTCCTTTGTTCATTCACACCAAATGTGTTCTGGACCCCAGCCAAGTACACAGTGGTCAATAGACAGACAAAAGTCCCTGCCCCTCTCCCGAAGCGTCTATTCCAGCAGGGACCAAAAGAAAACGATGGAGTCAAAAGATGACCCACTAAGACAATGACTAGAAACCATGGTGACAGCTCAGGCGTAAAAACCACAGAGGCCGGGGGACTCCTTTCACAAGGCCCGAGAAACAGACACTTAGCCATGACCTCACCCCAAGTCATGCAACAGGTTGACCTTCCTAAAGCTCAGCTCTCTTGAATGAAGTCCTCTCCCTCAGCCTGGCCCATGGGACTGCGCCAGGCGCTCCTTCCAGGGCCCTGCATTTGAGGTGTGGCATGCGCAGCGTGCTCACCAGTGCACCCGTTCCTGTGCCTACTCCCACACCCCTCCTCACGCCCTGTCTCACGCCTGGAGGCTTTCATCAGCGTTGCCCTCCCAGTGTTACCCACTGCAGGGACCTCAGCGCGTGCTGACGTGAGTCAGGCCGTATGTCTGTGAGGGAGACACAAGGAGGGCCTGTAAACCCTAACAGGTGACGTGTCCAGACCCTGAGCAGGACCCCTAGGAGCCTCGGTTTCTTCATCAGTGAATGGGCACCAGGTAGAAGTGAATCCTTCCCCAGCTCTGCAGCCTTCGAGGCTCGGGTGCCCTGCCCAGGATGGGTGACCACTTCAGAGGAGCAGAGCGGTGAGCACTTCGCAAGCACTCCCTCGGTCCTAGGTACGCACACAGGACCTCCTGCATGCTCTCACTAGCACTCACCCCACACAGCCCCTTGAGGGTGGTATCCCTAGCTCCACGTTCTGACTTGTCCAAGGTTGTACAGCTAGAACCAAAAACCACGTCACTCCAAGGGCGGCCATCTGCCTTTACTACAGTGGCATGTAGGGAGGGCTGTTAAAGGACAGGTGATTGGGGAGGCAGGGCTTTGGAATAAATATGGCATCTCGAGGTTCAATCCCAGTGCTGCCAGTTACCAGCTGGACAAGTTAGGGCAGGAGCTCCCTCCAGCTGTGTGGCACCTGAGATGGGGGTGGGGGTGTGTGTGGGGTGTGTGTGTGTGTGTGTGTGTGTGTGTGTGTGTAAAGGTGGAGAACAAGGCAGAAGGGCTGTTCCCCAGGTCAGTGCGTGTTCAGAGTAGGCCCGGCATAGCATCTGCATTGCCCTGCCCCTATGTCCCAATTCCTTCTTCTTCCTCTTCCCTCCCCACCACTTCCTGACCCTGCTCACCACTCTGAGCAAGAAGCCCAACATCTGCCCACAACCCGCCCTCAGAAGTCCTCACAGCGCCCTCCCCGCGCCCCAGCCTCACCTGCAGGATGGAGGTCCGCTGCTCATTCTTATGCACCTTGGAGGCCAGCCGGTTGAACTCGAGGGCCATGCGGCCCAGGTGGGTGAAGAGCTGGCTGTGGTCGGGCTCCTCAGCGCACACGCTCAGGGTGGTCTCCAGCCGCTGCAGGTGCAGCATCAGGTTGCTGTCCTCGTGCGGCAGGGGGCCCAGCTCCTGCTGGGGCGGGGGGCGGAGGGAGCCTGGAGTCACCCTCCACCAAGACCTGGATATGCACCGCCAGCCCATTCTTCCTCTGCTTCCCCATTCCTCATGACTCAGTTTCCCCCTCTGGTCCCAAGTCACCCGAGGGAAATTCTCTAATTACACAGGTTCCCTGTCTGACTCACAAGGCAGGGACAGGGCCTCCCAGGCCACTGGCTGGCTTGACAGCTGAAGAAGTCACCGTCTCCCCACGTCTGGGCCTCGCGAGGGGCCTGTGCGTACATCACTCATTCCCTGCCCTCCCATCTCACAGGCCTCTTCAGGATGCATGAACCCAGGACAACAGTGGCCTCGGAGAAGGCACAGCACCATACTGGGAAGGGTCAAAAAATCTGTGGGGAAATTCTAATCTCTTCTCATTCTATTTCTCCACAAACTTCTTGAAAATGTACCCAAGTACACTGCTTCTTTCGCTGAGGACGTCTTCATCGGAAAGTCACACCAAGAGCAAAAGGCCCTGAATTTTACGGGTGTCTTCTGGGGACTGGCCCATGCAGTCATCAGCTCCTCGGTGGCCTCAACGCTCAAAACGGGCTAAGCATCACAGGTCTAGATATTTTAAAAAATCCCCCTTCGAGTAACTACGTAAGAAACGAGACACAGGGGAGTAGGGGCGTGTCACCTCTCCCCTGCCAGTCCACTGCTCCCAAAGACACTGGCCTTTGTTACGCCAACTCTGATACCAAGGACCCCCAGTGGCACCTCACTGCTGACCCTGACAGACCCAGCTGCCCTGCATGGCACCTGAGGCCCACAGCACCAGGTCCACCTTGAGGAGGCATCCGATCAAGCTCCACACATCCTGCCTGCCTGCTCTGCCTGGCAGAGCTCCAGGCCCAGCCCATGAGTCACTCCCCGTGGCCTCCCCTGCACACCTGGGAAGGTGCGCACGGCATATCAGGCTGCACGGAGCCTCGAGGTTCGGGCTGAAAAAGCAAGGGGAGCCAAGAAGTCACCCGTGAATCAGGGGTAGAGCAAGGGCTGGAACGCAGGTTTACAGGTCTCCTGACTTCTGGCCCAAGGTTCTGCCACCCTGGCCTCCCGTGGGAGCAGTGACAATGACCCCAGCCACCACTTGGCATTCAGCTAGTGCCCACCCACTACTGTTAGCACCTCGTTCTATCAGAACTGCTGCTCTGGACTCAATTCTGTACTCACCCCCCTGCTACCCCTTTCCACACAAGAGGTCAAGGCTGTTCCCAAGGACCTAGGAACTATCTCATGCATCTGATTTCTGCCCCTGGCCGGCCAGCTCTGAGGGACAGGGATGTTGTCTCCTCGTCACTCAGTCTAGACTACACACACTGGAGAGGCGGGGCTGGAATGGACTGTCCAGATAAAACAACTGGTCTACGGCTACAGAGAGAATACTTTCTAGCAAGGCGCCCTGGCTCTTCAGCCGCTTCTCAGGGACAGATCATCTCGGGAGATAAAGGACAGAAAACTTTTCTGATACCCGGAGCTGCCTGGCAAGGGGACAAAATGTAAGCAAGCTGGAAAATATCTGACGGGGACACACACCACCCTGGGGACTCAAATCTACAAGCAGTCATCGATGACTGGGAAAGCAGCATTTGGGATCAGAGTCCACAATGTCAGAAATGGACTAGACCATGGACTGCTTTATTAGCAACAGCAGCAAAAATCACAAAGAAGGGAGGCAGGAGGAAAAGGCGGGCTTTAAGACCTTAGAATGACGCTCCGATCCGCTTGCCATGTTAAGAGTTGGCAACAGATACCAATATATCCAGGGATCTGGTGGAGCACACATATTTTACATAGGACAACTTCTCACATGACCACACACCCTGAGGGAAGAAGTTGCTGGGTCGGGGAATCAGGACCATCGTCTCGGGTACACTATGGTTAATTAGCATAACTAATCCACAAAGAAATGTTCTACATCCTACTTTAGTGAGTAGAGACGGGAGGCTTAGAAGCTCGTGTGAAAACAAACACACTAACTTGTGTGCGGCCCTCTAAGGTACAGCCATCGGTCTCTCCCCATCGGGAGGAGAGCAGCGTGATGACAATTTTCAGGCGCAAGGAAACAGTTAGTCCCCAGCACTGGAGGACCACTCCAGCGTCAGGCTCCACAAGCCCGGGACCAGAAGATCTGGCTATACCTGACGACCCCCACCAGCTGCTCTGAAAAGAATCACACTGGGGGATCCTGGTTAGAGTGGGAGAAAAACGTGGAAAGAGCGCAAAATCTTAACGTGCCCAGGGTGTTGGGTCAGACAGAGTGGTGGCACCCCAGGACAAGGGACTTTCTTCAGCTGTGGAACTGAACTCACCCCATGAGAGAAAAGCAACCATCTAAGATCGAAATGGGAGCGCGTAATTCAAGGGAAAAGTTCAAAGGGTTAAAAGTGGCAGAGGACCAGAAACCAGAAACAGGGAGGAAGTGGGATGGGTGATGCACACTGAGGGGGCTGCAAGGGTAAACTGAAGAAAACGTGTATGACTTGCCGACCATGTTAGGATACGTCACGATGCTCTACAAACCACCTCATTCACAATTTTAAAAATGTTTCTTTTAGTTAGTCTCGCAGAAGGAGCTACAGTTGAGGTAAAAGCGGCTAGTCTGACAGGATGTGGAATGAGGATACTGACGGCTATGTGCCCTGCTCATGTGTGCTCCTGCATGTGTAGAAGTGGAGGTTTTAGCGTCCTGCCTGTGGCGTACCTCGAGGAACGGAGAGTCTGTGCAAAAGGGTAACTGGCCTGCCTCAGACCGCCCTGGGCCTTTGAGCTCCTCTCCTCCCCCAGGCCACAGGGCTGAGTCAGTGTGTGGAGGTGCCCGGGGTTCAGCAGGGCTGGAGAAATGCCAGGGCTTTCACAATGGCCCGTGCCCGTGTGGCCTGAGTCGGGAAGTCACCAGTCCGGGGATTTGCATACGTGAACAAGAAGCATGCTCAGCTCCAGCCCCTGATGTCCCTGGGGGCCTGTGGCTCTCACACAGGCACAGGGACTGAAACTGAGGGGACAGCTGGGCACGCCAGCCACTCACCATCGCGCTCCTGCTGCTGCCTCCACTCTGCGGCGGTGACTTCTGCTCCTCGGCTGGGGCAGGGACCACTTCAAATTCAGAGGAGGTGCCCTGTGCAGAAAAGGAGTCGGGGCTGCCTAAGAGTAACTCCTCCTCTCTCCTCAGGAGGCCTGAAGCCAGGAGCAGGTGAGGCAGAGAATTGAAGAACAGATAACCTCTTCTAGCTCCAAAGTTCGTCCCCAAGGCCCACTCTGCAGAGGGGAGCTGGCCCAGGCTGAGCCCATTGATGGGGGGCGGGCAGACACACCGTTTCTTGAGACACCACAACACGAGGCTCCTATAACCCGCAGCATGGTCGCACGTTGCCCTCTGTCCACATTCCCCATCTGTTAGTCAGGATGATGGCCTATCTGACCATAGAGCCCCTAACAATTTAAGGCTGCGTTTTCTTTAAAAGGTCTTTGCACTTAGTATTGCCACAAACTCCAGTAGTCCCACAGCACCACATGGGCTAAGTCAGAAGGTTCTGCATCAGAGCTGTCTCTAGACGGGCAACAGTCTGAACCCAGCCGCCACTCAGTGGGAGAAGATGTGGCAGCCTGCTTCTGTACAGATCACCACCCTAGAGATCCCTCTGTCCTCCCGGCGGCTCTGCACCAAAACTGGATTGCAACCGTCTGGTTTGGGTGTCAGACCTAAGATGAGAACCCCACTTGGGGATCCTGAGATGGCAGCACGGTACAGTGTGTCTTGAGGAAGCACAGGTGGAGGAAGGAGATGGGAGCCACAGGAAGCTCACCCACAGGCAGACGCTCAGGAGAGACAGGGACTTTCCTGCAGTCAGCCCAGACAGACCGCCTTGCCCTGGAGTTGGTCTGCTGAATTTGGAAGGCCAGCTTCCTGAACAGTGAGAATATCCATTTGCTTGTGATAGGCGTCCCTGTGCAGAATTCATTACAGCAGCTCTGGACAACCAAGACATCCAGGATATCAAGCCACACATCTTAAGCCACCACATGGTCTCTGAGCCCCCCTTGAAGCCTGTGCGATGCCACAGGCTTGTCTTCTCCCAGCTCTGTGCAGCCTCCACTCACTGAACGCTTCGTAACGTGACAAACGGAGCGGCCCCCTGTGCACACCAACGTCTACCCAGGGAGCTCTTTTACGATGGGCTGCCATCTGAACATGGGAACCCCAAGGCCACGTCAAGAGTGGCACTGACTTGGCCAACACCATCTAACAAATCAGAAACCAAGCTGCTCACCCCAACCCTGTCACCACACTGCGGTCGATTTGCCGCCAAGTCTGCAACTTACACTGGATGGAGTTTTGAGGACTGCCTCTGGCTTGTCCCTGGGGTCTGCGGGATCCGCGGAAGGTGTCGGCACACGCGTGCTCGTTCCTGGAGAAGGAAGAGCACAGGCTCTAAATACTGCCCCCCCAGGACAGCTCGAGCCTGAGGAGATCCCGGATGGAGTTCCCCACGTGCGTCTGGGGAAACGAGGTGGTCCCACCAGAGGCTGGAAGAATGACTGGCCCTGGAGTAAGGGATGATGGGAACAGAGACCTCTCCCCTGACCATACTGGGAAAATCTCAAGGTGGTCACTACTCCAGGGGGTCACCACTCCTTGCTGCGTTGGATGTGCCTCCGCAGTGTATGGACTATGAGGTACAAACTGCTATTTAGCTCTTATCCCAGTCAGTTCTCATGACAACCCTGTGCCCTCATTTTAAAGCTAGAGAAGCACTTGGCACCAGCAATTGCAAAACCAGCCACTCTGCTCTCCTTCCTTCACCTCCTGGGGCTTTTGTCACAGGGAGCTCTTATCTTATTCTTAGGGAGAGGCTGCCTTCCAGCAGGGGCACTGCTGACTGGATGGGCGGAGGCGGGGCATGCTGCTCAACAGCACGGTGGGTGGCCTTGGAGACCCTGCCTGGGCTCCTCTGCTCCTGGAGCAAAGGTAAGTAACAGCAGTCAGGTGCAAGGCTGCGCCCATGGGGCCTGCGCCAAGACTGTGGGTCAGCTAGACTTGGCGCCACGACAAAGTGATGCACGGTGACTGCACACAGCGATATTCTTCTCCACCAATGAGATCAATCAATTACTGTGGCCCTTCTAGCCAGAATCCCTATGTGGTGGGTTACAATGCTGGCCAGTCTGTGGCTTTGACCCCATTCCTCTGTGAGAGGATTGAGGGGGTGGGGTGAATCCTGACCTTGGTAGAGGGTGTGAATCAAGCCACAGCCTTTGTTTCCTTGGGGGCATCTTTAAGACTATTTTACTAGAGAGTATGACTTAGGAGACCATGTTTCTTTTCCTGAGGAGGGATGGTGTGCTGAAAGACAAAAGCACACCTCCATCAAAGCCATCCCTCCGTGTAAGGGACACAGTGAGACCCCAGGACCCCTGTCTGAAGTGGCAGAGGCCAATGCATCACAGACTGGCACGGAGGCTCAGAAGAGCAGGGGGGTACCTTCTCCTAATCTGGTCCAAGGTTACGTACGGGACCCTGAGACAGGCCACAGGCAGATGTGTTCCTGGTCCACAGAAGCAAAGCCAAGGGACCATGTGGCTGAGAGGCTGAGAACTTACTGTTTACTGACCCTGACCTGTGGTAACCTATGAACTTCCCTGTTAAGCCTGCATCAGTGTGAGCACTGTCGGTGGGTCCTGTGGGTCCAGTGGGTCCATTATGACAAATTATCTAACCTAGACTAGAAGCAGAGGGCAGTGGGAGGGATGGTTGGTGTCCGAGTAGGTAACAAAGGATGGGCATGGAGGCAGGTTTGACCGCTGTCTTGTCCCTAGAGGTCAGATATTGCACTGCAACTAAGAGGTTTATGCGGCGTTACATGTGAAACACACTTCGGTGGGCTAGCAGGCAGGCCCAGACTCTTCCCTGGGCCTCGGCTGTCCCTGAGTACACGGGCAGGAAGAAACGGAACTGGAGGTGTCCACTCAGTGTTTGCAGCGCTCCACTGGCGCATGCAGAGGCTGCCCTGGCAGTTGGTTAGCATGCTGCTAGTGGCCCTGCAGCCACGCCTGGGCCCCGAGGGCTGTGACCCATTGCTGACTGTCAGCCAGGGCTCCAGGGTGGGTGGGATGTCACCAGCCACTTCTGGACCAGATTATTTTCAAGTCCCTTCCAAACCTGCCCTTCTGAAGGATGCTGCGGCCAAAAGCATGGGGGGAGGGGGGGCCTGCCCCCCACCTCACCCCCAAGAGTCAACAGGGAGCTGTGGGTTTCAGAATAAGAGAGGAGTCCCCTGCTAAAGACTTGGCAGTTTGGGGTATAGGGGAAAGCTCCCCCTGGTACCTGTGAGCTCAGCAAGGTGGTCAAACGAGGCCAAGGAGGAAGAAGGCGGCGGGAGCATCTCACTGTCCTTGACCAGCTCCTCCGCCTTCTGCCGGAGCCTGGATGCTTCCATCTGGGACTCCTCCAGAAGCTCCCCTAGAGAGACAACGCACAGGGAGTCACTGAGGGCTACCACGGCGGGCGCGGGCCTGCTGCTGCCCAGTTCCAGAGGCTGTGGTCCTCCAGGGCAGAGTGGGATTAAGGACCATGCCCACCCACCACCAGAAGCAAGTAAGAGGGCCCAGCAGTTGGAGGGAGATAGGGCTGGTCAAAACCAAGGAAAACGGGCTCCCCACATCCTCTGCCTGGCCTCTTCCTTCCATACCCAGGCAAGGAGCACCACAGAAAGCCTGCCAGGGCCCGGGGTGACCCACATTCTAAGGTCCCAGAGCCAAGGGGTGTCCAAGAAGCGGACCCTGGATAATGCCAGCCAACCAGGGGCAAATGGCTGCAACCCTTCTTGGCCTCAATCTTCCATCTCCAACCAGCAGAGGAGAACAGAGACCCCTCCCTCCCTCCCCAGTCTGCTGCCCCACACAGGGATAGGAGAAAGGAGACAAGTCACGCCCCGAAGCTGGGAGCGGACACGGTGGAGGCAAGGCAAAGGAAGAGCACAGGAGCACGGACAGGAGTCTATGTGTGGATGGGACGGGATGTGGGGAGGAGAGAGCGGCTGGGCTGGGCACCAGCAGTCACGAGAGGGGGATGAGCCCGGGGTTCGGCAGTGGGGGGGTGGGGGGATAGCTCAAGCAAAAGCCAGAGAGCAATCAAGGAGCCTCCTCCCACCTAACCCCACCACCTGCTGGGGCCTGGAGCCAGGTTCCCCTGAACACACTGACTACGCCTCCCCGCCCCCATGCCTCCACCCGGGCACCTTGCTGCCTCTGGCACCACAGTGGAGCAGGGCCTGGCTCCAGGAGCTCAAACAGGCCTTCTTTCTCGTCCCTGCTCTCCCACCTCCCTGCCGGCTCAGTGCTAGCAGCAAGGCTCCGGGATCATCGGGGCTGGGCGCAATGTCACCAGTGCAGGGCAGGAGGTACAGCGGGTGGCTCGGGAGGGCACGCTGGCCCCAGGCTGCAGGCAGGATGCAGGGTCTGCTTTACCTAACATCTTTATCCCTTGCATTTTTTCCTTCAGCCGGGAATTCTCCTCCACTAGGCGCTCAAAAGCTGTGGAGGCCTCTCCGGGAGGCGGAGGCACACTGCCCCCAGGGTCGTAGATCCGGTATGGTCCTCTCCCCTCCATGGGGGTGGCTTAGCCCCTGCCGTGGTGCCGCCTAGCTGTAAGGACAACAGCAGTGTATCAGGGGGCTGGCCAGGCCATCCAGGCGACCTCTGTGGGCAAGCCCTAGTCTGTGCGTGCCTCAGAAGGCAGTCCCCGTACCCGGACCAGGACACAGCAGTGCGGACGGTCCATCCTGAGCACACCAGAGCAGAGCACCACTGAGCAGGACACCTCTACTAACACAATCTGAGGCCCCATCGGTGCGTTCTAGTAGCCTTGCGGCACTCCTGGTTCATTTAGATCGGCATCAACCATGGGGTGCAAGATCTCATCCAGCCCAGAAGTTAGCTATGAAGAGGGTACCCAATAAACATTTACTTATCACATGAATGAACCGCCTAGAACCTTAACCCACTGGGGGCCCCGGGGCAGCTGCTTCCCTGACCTGAGGATTCAGTCTTCCGATTCGCCAAATGGAATTCTGAAACTATAGCAGCGATCTCTAAGGCGAAGTGCCTGCCTGCTGAGGAGTATACCAGCTAATCCGATCCACAGTGCCCTCTTCAGTTGCCTTGTTGTTTAAAATATATATTAAGAATAGTCTAAGGTTTAATACAGGAATCGCTGTCTCCCTCGTCCGTCGGTCTCATTATCACAGGTGGCCTGTCCCTTCCAGCAGAAGAATTTTCCGTCAGCTTCCTACCTACTTGTGCAGCAAATTCTTCACACCCATCTGTTCAATTTCATTTGAAACCACCCAGCAGAGTGATTTCAGGATGCGCCCTCTGAGACCTTGTAGAGCAACTCTTTCCTATCAATCATTCATGGCCTATCGTTCATCCATCCATCCAACAATTCTTTATTTAGGATCTAGTATGCATATGCTGCTTGGTAGTGTTGTAGGTTACACATTGGGCTGCTAACCTTAAGGTCAGCAGTTCAAAACTTGCAGTCACCCCTTGCGGTAAAGGTGAGGCTTTCTATTCCCACAGAGTTACAGTCTGGGAAACCCACAGGCACAGTTGTGCCCTTATCCGGGAAGGTCGCTATGAGCTGGAACGGACTGGAGAGCAGTGGGTCTGGCTCTGAGTACCTCTGTGCCGAGTGCTAGTCTGGGTGCTGGGGAATGGTCATCCCACAAAACGGACAAAACCTCTCAGGGAGCTAATATTCCAATGGGGATAACGGCAGATGGTGAAGGGATGAACAGGAGAGGAGATGATAGTATTGGGGGCTGTACAAAAGTCTGTGGACACCAATAAACGCTACAAGGGAAGTAGTACGGAAAGAGGTGAGGACCTCGAAAGGCCTCAGGGAGAGGGAGCTGTTTGATCAACACCTTGAAGAAGATGAAGATGAAGGAGGGGACATTCCAGGAAGTGAAC